TTTGCTGGGGCTGGCGGTGACCCACCTCCCGCAGGTCAACGCTGGAGCCCAGGAGCAGCTCAGCCATGCTGCTGGGGAGGGACAGGTTCTGCATCAGGAAGCGCTGCAGCTCACCCCGGTCCTTGGCCGCCCAGGCCAGCGTGAAGCCAGATCCTGGCAGGGAGCAAGGCAGGGGGGTCAGAGCAGCATGGCCCCCCACGGGGACATGTCACAGTTGGCCTTGCCTGACACGCAGCCACGTAGGGCAGCAGCAGGGTACTGCCACACGCCACCGCACCACCGGGTGCTGGCGGGCGCATCTCCAGCCCTGCCGGGGCGGGCAGCCGGGGGATGCAGGCCACAACCTACCTGCTCGGTTGCTGAAGTGGGTCTCCATGGAGCTGGGCTCGCTGCTGCTCAGTGCCTCCAGGCGCCGGCGCAGCGACTCCAGCTCCTCCTCCAGCCCCGGGTGCTGCGGGTCAAAGAGGCTGCTCTGCTCCACTGCTTCGCTGAGGTGCTCCAGGAGCTGCGTCACCCTGTGAGAGCCCAGCACCGCGGCTTCAGGGACACCTCCCACCGAGCTGGGTGATGAGTCCCTCGGGCGCACAGGACAGCAGTGCTGCCTGCCACGGGGCACGGCTGCCCCGGGAGCTGCCCTCGCCCACACAAGGACTGCACCATGCATGGGCACAGAGCTGAGCCCCAGAGCCTCGAGGTGACCCTGGGGGCCACCTCCGTCCTCCTCCCAGCATCAGGCACCCAGGAGCCCGCAGGGGCTGAGGTACTCCCTGCACCCCAGCAGCACGCTGCTCTGCACCCAAGCGCTCTAGGGGACACAGGCCTGTGCCCTGTCCCCGGTGGGGCAGTGCCAGCATGGGAAGGGGCAGGCTGTGCACAGGAGCATGTGGGGCTGGAAGAGGAAGCATGTGGCAAAGGCACAACTCACGTGGAGTTGGAGTACTGCAGGAAGCCAAACTCATCACGTTGGCCATCGGGGCACAGGGACTGCATGACGGGCAGGATTCCGGCCGAAGTGAGTGGGGCCGCTGTGTAGAAAGCTGGAGCCAGCGAGAGAGCGCAGAAGAGGCCAGGGAAGATGCGGGCAGGGAGGAAAGAAAGGCAGGGGGCCACCAGAGAGACAGACACTCAGTTCAGAGAGCACACGCTGGGCCCTGCGATCCCGCAGGAGGTTGGCGGCCAAGGTCAGAAGTCTGCAGCCTTCCCAACCGAGGATGCACTCGGCTGGTGGCCCTTGGGGCTGTGGGCAGCTCCTGCCACACTGGCTCCTGCCCTCTTGCCCCTGCCCACTCCCCTCTGCATGACAGGTCCCTCCCACCCCAGACGATGCCGACTTCTGCCACTTGCCCCCTTGCCCCCAGGACGGCCACCAACCTCCCCCGGCCTCTTGACCCTTCTTGTTAGTAACCTCAGAGGCACCACCAGATCTCCAGAGGAAAAGGAAGAGGAAGAATACCACAGGGAAAATAGACTTGTCACCCTCAGCTCCCTAAGCCCCCCGTCTGCCCCCTGCCCGGCTGCCCCAACGTGCGGCTGCTGGACGTGGCTGGAAATGGAGACACGGGGTGGGGGGGGAATGGAAGAAATGAGGAGGGGCAAGGGGATGGCAAACCTT